TGTGTGTGTGTGTGTGTGTGTGTGTGTGTGTGTGTGTGTGTGTGTGTTGGCGGGGGCAGGGAGGGGGGGTGACAGGGGTGGTACATAACAACCACTGATTTGCCTTCCCCCATCCAGCCTTTTCCCAATTCAGTGAGGAGGCATTCTTATTTCTCAAATCCCAACTCTTCTGCTTACTACTTCTGTGACCTAAGGCAATTATTATTTTTGAGCCTCAGTTTTATCATCTGTATTATGGGGAGCCATAAATTAATAATAAATAGTACCCATTTCAGTGGGTTGGGAGGATTCGATGGGAAATGGATGTAAATGTAGTGAAATCTCTCGGGGAGTGTTAGTTGGGTCGATGGTGATAGTGAGGAGAGTGATGATGGTAATAAAGGTGACGATAATAGAATCTATGCTTCTTTCTTAACTCCAAAGACCTAGAGTACCTCAAAGTTGTTCCCAAAAGGTTCCTGAACCTTGCTGCCTCCACCTTGCTGCCTGGGGGTTTCTCCAGGTCCCTCTTCCAGAATCAGAATTCCTAAGGGTGGAGCCAGATAATACTCATTTTAAAGGAACTCTCCAGGTGCTTAAAAGAGCCTAAACTCTCTTCAGCTCTTATTGGGCAACCTACTCTGGGCAACCCTCCCCCAACCCCATTTCCCCCCCAAATTCCACCTTCCTCCCAGGAAACCGCGCCCCCTCCCCGCCCCCAACCTTGCTTGCCTTGGATATTCCCTTTTGGTTTTCTTCCCAGCTCAGAAGTTAGATGCCACAATCCTTTCCTGACCCCTAAGGGTGACAGGGTGAGTGAGAGAATGTGTATGAGAGTTAGGGGGCAGGCGTGGGGAGGGGGGATGGGGGGAATGTGTCACAAGCATGCTACGTTTGTGCTGCCTGGAAGGCCTGAGGGGTTAGAGCCCCTGGTTGTGACCCCAGATGGGGAAGGAAGCCCCCAAGGTCAGTGCTTAATCTGTAGTTCTTAGAGCGGCTACAAATGAAAGTCACCCTGACGGTGCCAGACCACGGACCTCTGAATTTGTAGCCAAAATTTCTAAGTGTTCATTTTTCTTGGAAAAATCTGCGGTGTGGTTTCATAAAATACGTAAAGGGGAATGTGACCCAAAAAGGGTACAAACCGTTGATCTGGAGGGAGGGAGTGGAGGCAGGCCGGCACTGCTTTATTTCTCCTCTTTGTCATGTTTAGGGTAACTCCCAAGTAACCCCCACCCCGCCAAGACTTCCGCACGGAATCGGTGCTCACTGTGATCCCATGTCGTGTGTGTGCTGTGCAAGGGAGGGCAGGACAAGGCGCCCAGAAGGGAATGAGGTTCTTTGGAGACAGGTGTGTTTGGGTTGAGGCTTGTTGGTAAGATGAGCCCAGTGCCAGGTCCATGCAGAGAGAGGGGAAATGGCTGGAGGGTGGGTCCAAATAGAGCATCAGATAGATTCCTCCCTCCTTTAAAGAGATTAAGATTGCAGCTGAGAGCAAACACACTAATCTGATAACAGCCTCACAGGCGTTGAGCCTATTAGTGCGAGGAGTGACCAGGGAGGGGCTGTGCTTGTGTAAGGAATCTGCATTCAATGACCATTTGCTGAGAGTCTGCTAGGGACCTACACAGAGAAGGATTAAATCAGACCCCAGGGAGTTCTCAGTGGAGTAGGGAAATGGGCAAGAAAACAAGCAGTGGCCATACAGAAAGTTCCAGGATAGGCTAAGCCTGAGAGGTGAAGTAATCACAGTCATTCATGAGCTGTTACTGAGTACCTACGGTGTGCAGGGTCCAGGGCAAGGCCCTGAGGATGTAAACAGAGCAGAGGCCCTCCCAGCCTCCACTCACCATCTTATAGGAAAGAGAAACAATTCACAAGTTATTTCCCAAACAGCTACCTAACTGCAATTGTGAGTGCTTTGAGGGAGCATTTGTTGAATACTCACTGTGCTAGGCATTTAGCCCACATGATCTCAGACTCCCTAGGAAAGAGGTAGTATTATCCCCATTTTACAGATAAGGAAACTGAGGCTCTAAGTCAATTGCTCCAGCTCACGCAGTCAGAAAGTGGGCAGCTGGGGTTTGCCTCAGACTGTCTGATGTCACATTCCCTGCTCTTCTCCACCCTGCTGCTTACATCTGTCAAATGGGTACAGCCCAACAAAAGTGACAAATAGTCCTTGAGTTAGAACCACTGTCAGCTCCACGATGACAGATTGCATCTGTCTTGTTCGCCGCTGTGTCCCACTGCCCAGGATAGCGCCTGGAATGTTGTAAGTGCCCAATAAACGCTCACTGAATGCATGAATGAGCGCCTATGGTATGCCCAGCTCTGTGAAGGTGAATGGGTGGGGGCTGGGGGATGAGTATAGGGAGCCCTGTCCCTTCCTTCGGGATGCTCGGAGAGGAATAAGTGCAGAGAACACAGGAAGAAGTGCACAATAACTGGGATTGAACAACACGGGCGGGCGGTGTCCCAGGCTGCACAGTGATTCATTGCCATGGGATTGAGACACACAATAAGTGGCTGTGAGTTGGAGGAAGGAGAGGTCACCGAGGGCTGAGGAGGCCTGGGAAGGCTTCCTGGGTGACCAGAACCTGCCTTCAGTGGGGTGGGTGTGGCCTGTGACAGGGCCTGGGGTGGGATTTCCAGGTATGGGGCACGTACTCCAGGAGCTAGGGAAGGAAGATTGAGCCTGAGCCTCTGCTGAAAATACTGGGCTGAAGATTTTGGATTTGAATAGAAGGGCTGGCTGTGGTTGTGGTAGTGCTGGAGAGGAGGAGGGAGTCAAGACTGGGACTTAGCTGGAGGGTCTGGCTGGGGTCTGCTGATGCACAGCTCAAAGCTGGGGGAGATGGGCAGAAGAAGCAGGCTCTTGTGGTGATGGCAGTGCAGCTTGTGGTTGGCTGGGGCATACAGGGCTCTAACTGGAAGGATTTGGGGGTGGGCGGGGAGAGGCAGGTATGAGATGGGACTGGACCGATTAAGCGGGGGAGGGGCCAGATGTTCACTGAGGGACTGAGCAGGGGTATGGGGAGTGAGCGGTCAGGGCAAGGCTGCTGGTGTTATTGGCAGCTCTGTCCCAGTTAGACCTGCTGGGCTCCTAGTTGCTAAGGATAGGCTGGGGCAGCTCCCAATGCCAATTCCAGGGCTAGTCAGCTCTGACCACAGTCCTGACCCCAGTCTTGACGTCTACTCTCTTCTTCCACATACCTGCTCGTGTCTCTCCTCCCTGCCGTCCCCCACCCTGGTGGAGAGGGAGGGTAGAGGAGCCCCGGGAGCTGTGTGTGTACACACAGGTGTGAGTGCCCAGGGGCATGTTTGTTTGGAAGGGGCTCAGGGAGGGCTAACACCTACTCCACAGCCCTAACCGGTGCCCAGTCCAAGCTGGCCCTTCACGAGGGCGGGGACATTGGGCACTAGGGTGATTACTGCCAGGAGAAAGGGATCTGAGATGTCTTACCTCCTGTGCGTACACTGACTTGGCATCTCAGAAGGGAGAGGAACGTGACATCATCCCTTCTCCCTGCAGCCAACGTGAGTGGCCCTCAGCGTGGGCAGCTGACGATCCGGGGTCTGGGGAACGTGAGGGTACCTGCGTCTCTCTCCTACCTTGTATGTGGGGGTGGGGGGGTGGGGGGGTTGCTCCTGGTCTCGCCCTTCCACTTGCTGTCTCTCCCTATCTCAGTATCAGGGTAATTAGCATGGGTGACTATGGCAGGATGCTGCTGAGAAGGAGGTGTTGGGCAAAGCACAGAGTAGAGAGCAGGGAGGGAGGGAGTGTCAGGTGGGTCAGGGCGTTCCTTGGGCAGGAACTGCTCTAGACCTGCTCCTCCAGCTGGGGCAGACACCGCTGCTACACCAGCTGTGGGTGAGACTCAGGGTTCTGCGCTCTGTACTAGGACAGATCTCTCCTGGGAGATCAGTGTGTAGGTGGCAGAGGGGGAGTCGGCGGCTGGCTCTGGGCAGCCCCCAGGGCCTGGGCCCTCCTCCCAGCTGACCCCCTGTTTTGTCTCCCTCGCGTACAGCCCTCCTGATTCTGGAGCCTGCCCGGATGGGGTCCCTGAGGCGCAGCCCAGGCCCTGGGGGGCAACGGTTGCTGCCGCCTGCCTTGCTGCTGGCCCTTCTGCTGCTGCTGGCTCCGTCCCCAGGCCACGCCACTCGGGTGGTGTACAAGGTGCCAGAGGAGCAACCGCCCAACACCCTCATTGGGAGCCTCGCAGCCGATTACGGTTTTCCAGACGTGGGCCACCTATACAAACTAGAAGTAGGCGCCCCGTACCTGCGGGTGGATGGCAAGACAGGCGACATCTTTACCACGGAAACCTCTATCGACCGCGAGGGGCTCCGAGAATGCCAGAACCAGCTCCCGGGTGAGCCCTGCATCCTGGAGTTTGAGGTGTCTATCACGGACCTCGTGCAGAATGGAAGCCCCCGGCTGCTAGAGGGCCAGATAGAGGTCCAGGACATCAATGACAACACGCCCAACTTCGCCTCACCAGTCATCACGCTGCCCATCCCCGAGAACACCAACAATGGCTCACTCTTCTCCATCCCAGTGGCTTCGGACCGCGATGCTGGCCCCAACGGTGTGGCATCCTATGAGCTGCAGGTGGGGCCCGAGGCCCAGGGGCTATTTAAGCTGCAGGTGGCAGAGGACCAGGACGGAAAGCAGCCGCAGCTCATCGTGATGGGCAACCTGGACCGGGAGCGCTTGGACTCTTATGACCTCACTATCAAGGTGCAGGATGGTGGCAACCCCCCACGCGCCAGCAGCGCCCTACTGCGAGTCACTGTGCTAGACACCAATGACAATGCCCCCAAGTTCGAGCGGCCGTCCTACGAGGCTGAGCTGTCTGAGAACAGCCCCATAGGACACTCAGTCATCCAGGTGAGAGGCCCCTCCATCTAACTGTCAGGGTGACCCACATTTAGAAATGGGAGCCTACCCCAACCTCGTGAGAGTTCCCTTCACTTAAGGGCAAGATGGCCAAGATGTTGCGGTGAGATCTCTTTTCCCCAGCCCCCGCCTGGTGAGACCTTCCCACAAGTCCACCACACCCCAGCAGGGGATTTACTTTCCTCTGTCAAGCTATTCAGGTGACAGTGACATAGCGTATGAACAGTGATCCCCCCATCCCCAAGGCAGACTCGAGCTGGAGAAACCTCTGCAAAGTGAAACCCCCTCCCAAGTCAAATGATATCCTTCTCCCCAGCCAAGTGAGCTGAGCTGGAACAAGTGAACCGCCTTTTGTCCAAGTAGAATCTCTCCAGAGATGAGAATGTCTTCCCAACCAGGGGCCCTTTAGCCACATGCGAGTTTCCTGAGGCTGGAGGACAGAGCCTTGCTTTGCCCATCCCTGACAGTCACAAGAGATCATTTTAGCCAGGTGAGTCCTCAGAATTCTAGAAAACTGTACACAGATGTCTGTACACCCACCTCCTCCCCTAGGCACAGGGTACCCATGGGTGTGGGGTGCTGGGCACAGTAGGGGGGGGGTCGGTGGCCTCTGCTTAAGCTCTCAACACCCCTCTCGATGGGAACTGCCCCAGGGGCTGGGCAGCTTGGTGGGGTCAGGGCCTGGGAGAGAGCAAAGAAAGCGTCCCTGCAGACAGGTGGGCGTATCTCCCACTGTCATCTCAGCCCTGGCCTCCTGCCAGCCCCAGTTCCTTTCTCCTTCCCCATGGGCTGAAGCTGTCTGTCTCTGGTATGAGGAAGCTGAGGAGGGCTCACCATTACCCGTCCTGGGAAACCCTTCATCCCAAGTCCTCAAGCTGAAGCAGGGCACGGGGAGGAGTTTGGGCCTTTTTTTAGAGGCTGGTGGACTGGAACCTGTAGAAGAGAGACTGAGAAAGAAAAGGGAGACAGACAGTCGGGGATGGCGAATAATCATAGCCTAGGTGCCAGGTACTGTTCTGAATACATTATGTGTATTATATCATTTAATCTCCACAGTACAATGTAAGCATTATCCCCATTTTGCAGATGGGGAACTGAGCCCACAGAGATTAGGAAACTTGCCTGGTAACCCCCACCTGATGTGTTCAGATTCCACCTTGGCCACATCCAACAGTTTGGCTTCAGAGCCCATGTGTGTAAGAGCTGGGAAGTGGGATGACGCAGGAGAATGGGACAGAGACGAGGCTACGGGTAGACAGAGCAGAAAAGAGAGGATGGGAGAGAGCCAGCAGTGGGAAAGAGGCAGAAGGAGAACTGAGCAAGATGGGAGGGAAAGAGAGACAGAAGTCAAGACTCAGAGACAGAGACAGAGAGGTGAGATGGCAAGAGAGGCAGACAAGGAGGTGGGTGACCAGTCTAGAGACGGAGACAGTGGGGATCATAATGAAAAAGTTGGTGACAGACTGGGGGAACAGGGGGATGGAGGGGCGAGGAGAAACCATTAGAGGGGTGAGCAGAGACCGGGTAGCTCACCAGTGTTTTCACTGACAAAAAAATCCTGATGGGAAGGAAAGGAGACTAGCAGTGGCCTGAGGGCCTGCTAGGTGCAATGCCCAATACTGTGTCAGCACCGATTTTCAGAGCTGGATGGACAAAAAGAGGGATAAATGCTATTTAGGGAGCACTTGCCACGTGCCAGGCAGTGTTAGGCATTTTTACACTTATCATCCCATTTAATCCTCACCACACCCCCCATTAAGTAGGTTCTATCATTATCCCCATTTTACACATTTGTAGACTGAGGCTTGAGGATGTTAAATAATTGGCCCAAGGCCTCATAGTTGGGAAGTGGCAGAGCTGGGATTTGAACCTTGCTTGGACTCTTGCTCTGCTCCCCAGAGACTCTGCCAAGTGGCGCCTATCCTGTCTACCCCCTACCCCCTCCTCCCCCGCCCCCGCCCGTACTGCCATCACATTCTGTTGGGCTGTGACCTAACTCCATCCCTCTTGTTGCTCCCTGACCAGTGCTACCTCATGACCATTCCCACCTGGCTCCTGTTGCCCCATTACCACCCATGTTTGTATAGACTTGGGCCGAGTGTGTGTCGGCCTTGGCGTGGAAGGATGCGCCCACTGCAAAGGGACAGACAGTTCATTGTGTGATGCTGGGAGCCCAGCCCCGCTGCCAGCAGGCTCTGTGGGCTGCACCAGCCCCTCCCTCCTGGCCGCAGGCTCGGCTGGATTCCTCAAGTTGATGCCTAGCCAGCGCCAGCCATGGGAGGGGAAGAGAGATGAAACAGGTTTCCCCGGTTTTGACAGAGTGTAGTGACCTGGCCTGGCGGGCTCCCTCTGACCCACATCCCTACCTGGCTCCTTTCAAAAAAGAAATCCCCTCACCTGTGGCCTCCAGAGGGGCACGTGGGTCTCCATTTGTGTGCCAGTAGACACGTGCATAAACATACCTTCTCACGTGATCACAACACGTGTGTGTGCATGCATGCATGTTGCACACGTATGTCACGCATACACACCATCTCTACTACTCACACCCTTCCAGCTCTTCAGAAGGGTTTGAAGGCCAGTTTAATCGGGTGGAAGGGCTGCCCTAGCTGCTAATTGGATCCTCATCCCCATATTTGGGTGGACTAGTATAGGAGTGATAAGTAGAGTTCAGTTCTGCCCTGTCCCATCTCTAGTAGTAGCTTGTAGCACCACTGAGGATTTGTGGGCTGTATCTGTCCTCTTCGGAGAAAGAGATCCGTAATATATGCCAAAGTGTCAGGATTGGGAAAAGGGCAGGGCATGCATGTGCTGCTTTTGGAAAGGGTGCCTTGTTAGATTAGTTGCGTCTGCCGTGCTCGTTGGAAAGGCAGAAATGTGTCACTTAATTTATCGCCAAACTAACCCAGCCCCGTTTTCCTTGTTTCTTCCCCCTGCCCTGTAGGTGAAGGCCAATGACTCTGACCAAGGTGCCAACGCAGAGATCGACTACACGTTCCACCAGGTGCCCGAGGTTGTGAGGCGTCTTCTGAGACTGGACAGGAACACGGGACTTATCACTGTGCAGGGCCCCGTGGACCGTGAGGACCTAAGCACCCTGCGCTTCTCGGTGCTTGCCAAGGACCGAGGCACCAACCCCAAGAGTGCCCGAGCCCAAGTGGTGGTGACCGTGAAGGACGTGAACGACAATGCCCCCACCATTGAGATCCGGGGCATAGGGCTGGTGACTCACCAAGACGGGATGGCTAACATCTCAGAGGACGTGGCAGAAGAGACAGCTGTGGCCCTGGTGCAGGTATCTGACCGAGATGAGGGAGAAAACGCAGCTGTCACCTGTGTGGTGGCAGGTGACGTGCCCTTCCAGCTCCGCCAGGCCAGTGAGACGGGAAGTGACAGCAAGAAGAAGTACTTCCTGCAGACCACCACCCCGCTCGACTATGAGAAGGTCAAAGACTACACCATCGAGATTGTGGCCGTGGACTCTGGCAACCCCCCACTCTCGAGCACCAACTCCCTCAAGGTGCAGGTGGTGGATGTCAATGACAATGCACCTGTCTTCACCCAGAGCGTCACTGAGGTCGCCTTCCCAGAAAACAACAAGCCAGGTGAAGTGGTCGCTGAGGTCACTGCCAGCGATGCCGACTCGGGCTCCAATGCTGAGCTGGTTTACTCGCTGGAGCCTGAGCCGGCTGCCAAGGGCCTCTTCACCATCTCACCTGAGACTGGAGAGATCCGGGTGAAGACATCCCTTGATAGGGAACAGAGGGAAAGCTACGAGCTGAAGGTGGTGGCAGCCGACCGGGGCAGCCCCAGCCTCCAAGGCACAGCCACCGTCCTTGTCAACGTGCTGGACTGCAATGACAATGACCCCAAGTTCATGCTGAGTGGCTACAACTTCTCAGTGATGGAGAACATGCCGGCGCTGAGTCCGGTGGGCATGGTGACGGTCATTGATGGGGACAAGGGGGAGAACGCCCGGGTGCAGCTCACGGTGGAGCAGGACAATGGTGATTTTGTTATCCAGAACGGCACGGGCACCATCCTCTCCAGCCTGAGCTTCGATCGGGAGCAGCAAAGCACCTATACCTTCCAGCTGAAGGCGGTGGATGGCGGCGTCCCACCTCGCTCGGCCTACGTTGGCGTCACCATCAACGTGCTGGATGAGAATGACAACGCGCCCTTTATCACCGCCCCTTCCAACACCTCCCACCGGCTGCTGACCCCCCAGACCCGTCTGGGCGAGACGGTCAGCCAGGTGACAGCTGAGGACATTGACTCTGGTGTCAACGCTGAGCTGACCTATAGCATCGCCGGCGGCAACCCTTACGGACTCTTCCAGATTGGGTCGCATTCCGGCGCCATCACCCTGGAAAAGGAGCTTGAGCGGCGCCACCATGGGCTGCACCGCTTAGTGGTGAAGGTCACTGACCGCGGCAAGCCCCCTCGCTCTGGCACAGCCTTGGTCCACCTGTATGTCAATGACACCCTGGCCAACCGCACCCTGCTGGAGACCCTGCTGGGCCACAGCCTGGACACGCCGCTGGACATCGACATTGCTGGGGATCCGGAATACGAGCGCTCCAAGCAGCGCGGCAACATCCTGTTTGGCGTGGTGGCGGGTGTCGTGGCCGTGGCCTTGCTCATCGCCCTGGCCGTGCTCGTGCGCTACTGCCGGCAACGGGAGGCCAAGAGTGGCTACCAGGCTGGCAAGAAGGAGACCAAGGACTTGTATGCCCCCAAGCCCAGCAGCAAAGTTTCCAAGGGAAACAAAAGCAAGAGCAAGAAGAGCAAGTCTCCCAAGCCCGTGAAGCCGGTGGAGGACGAGGATGAGGCCGGGCTGCAGAAATCCCTCAAGTTCAACCTGATGAGCGATGCCCCTGGGGACAGCCCCCGCATCCACCTGCCCCTCAACTACCCACCAGGCAGCCCTGACCTCGGCCGCCACTATCGCTCTAATTCCCCACTGCCTTCCATCCAGCTGCAGCCCCAGTCACCCTCCGCCTCCAAGAAGCACCAGGTGGTGCAGGACCTGCCACCAGCCAACACTTTCGTAGGCACTGGGGACACGACGTCCACGGGCTCTGAGCAGTACTCCGACTACAGCTACCGCACCAACCCCCCCAAATACCCCAGCAAGCAGGTAGGCCTGCCCTTGAAGCTCAGCATACCCCGGCCCCCACCCCACCCCTACCACGGGGCCATCTGGACCGAGGTGTGGGAGTAACAGAGCTGGTGTCTCGGGCCTGCCGTGCTCACCAGCCCAAGTCAGTGGTGGGAGGTGGAGCCAAAGATCGGGGGATGCTGGGACCACTGATGACCCTGCTGCCTCACCCAGGCTTGGAGGGTCGGGCTGAATGCAAACTGAGGGTGTGCTCCGTGTCCCCCCCCGCCTCGCTCCGCACTGGGAGAGGCCTGTGGCTTGTCACATCCTGGGACACTGGACCACCCGCTGGGTCCTGCAGGTGGGGACTGATGGGTAGGTGAGCAGAAGGGTTTGGAGGCAGAAGCGGGGAGGGAAATGGAGAAGAAGTCTCCTACAAACGTGGGTCTCTGTCCGAGACCAGCCATGGGTGCTTCTCTAGAGGGGAAAGGGGGAGACCTGGGGTCCTGGTGGGTAACCAGGTGGACGCTCTGTCAGGGAAGGGGGCCTCCCCACTTGTGCCTTCTCTGTGTACTGTGTGTCACCCTCTTCCCCACCCCAGACTCCTGGGGCTGGGCCCCAGTTCCCCTCCCCCAGCCCCAAACACTTCACCCTGATAATAAAGTTCTCTATTTTTGGAGTTTTGGCTTCTTATTTTCCTGGAACTGAGAGAAGGAGCGAGAGAGACTGGAAACAGCCCTTTGTCCGATGTCCTGCCTCACTTTCCCCATCCCTGCTCTTTGTCCCTTCCCCCGTCCCAGACCTGCCCCTCTGCCCCAACCCTATCTTAATTGACCAGGTCCCCCCGCCGCCCCACCATGACCATGTCCATGATTGGGGGAAGTGCTTTCTGAGCAGGCTTCAAATGGAGCAGTGTCCCCTTCCCTCACGTTTGTGAGACCTCCCTGGGAATGGCACCCTTTACCAAGAAAGCGGATGGAGATGCACCCAAGTCCTGCCCTTTCTCTGCTGGCTGAGACTTGACCTTTCCCGTTTGTGCACATCGGAGCATCTCCCAACAGAGCTCAGACCAGAGCAGCTGGTGGGGGTGGAGTGCAGCCTGGCTGCCTCAGGTGAAGGCAGAGAACCTCTTAATTATACCAGGCACCTTCCCTCGAGGTAAGATCGTCCCAAGTCCTTTTCCCAGCCTCTTCATCCCAATACCGCTCAACACCCAGCAATTAGCCTGCTCTGCCCTGTGTCTTCCCACCATGGTCACCAGTCTGGGCTGCCGGGAGGGAGGGCCCAGGGAGAGGGGAGGATGTCCCCCAGTGCTATGGACTGACCTGCTCCGTATCCCCACTGCTGACCAGGGCTGAGGCGCCCTATCCGGCCCCCTCCCTTCCCTTCCTTCAGCTCCTTGCTCTGGCCACCCTGAGCTGCTAGCTCTCACTCACTCTCTCTCTCTCCGTCTCTCACTTCTTGCTCTCCTGGGTCTGCCCTGTCTCTGGCTGTGCCTGAGGAGGAGGCTAAAGTCTGGGTGAGGGGCCTCAGGTCCTGGGGGAGTCTCTGAGGCCAGAGGCAACCTGTCTCCGTGGCGACTGAAGAGGCTTGAGACACTCCCAGGAGGTCCAGGGTGCCAGCTCTCTACTCTGATTCCGTCCACAAACTCCCCAATGCCCCGGGGTACCCCCAAAGTAAAAATTCCTAGGGGCTTTGGAGGAGTGGTGCATGGGGAAGTGAAATCTGGTTTCATCGCGTTTCCCTTGGACAAATAAGCATCTCTAGGGTCACCTCCAGCAGCTCCTGACCAATCATTCTTTCTCTTTTGTTCCTCTCCTTGCTGCCACCGCCTCTCTCTTTCTTCTGTTCCTTTAGCTCCTTAATCTCTTTTTCTTTCTCAAGGTCTGAGGGATTATCCCTTACTCGGCTCCAGTCCAACCCATCCGTGGAGCCACACTGAACATTCAAACACAACAAAACCACAACACTAGTGTCATCATTAAGACACATAGGCTGAATCCCTACTGTGTGCTCAGCATAGTATTAGACCTTGAGGGAAAAATGGTCACATTTCTACAAGACATACAAGTAACAAGATGAGGCAGTTGAGAATCGTGGTGTCGATTCTCACCAGTGAGAACTGCCACATATTAAAGCTCTTCCCAACTTGTTCTACCACTTCTGCCACGACTTGCTTCCATTTTTTTGAGTCCTTACCAGGTGCAACGTACCATGCTGAGCATTTTATGTGAATTTGCTCATCCACTGCTCATAACTCTTTGTGATGCAGGTCATTTTACAGAAGTGGAAACTAGTTAGCGACGGAGTCAAATTCAAACACAAATCATCAGGAAATCTGATTGCCAGAGTCTGCCGTTTTCCGTTATGCTATAAAAAAGGGGTTCCAAGACTAAGTTCACATTAACCTGTTAAAGGCTCTGCAAAGCCTGCAAGAAGGGAAAACCTGTTAAACTTTGTGTAACTCTGGGTTTTCCAAATTTATTTGACCATGGTGCCCCCTCCCTTTCTTTGAGGCACATAGTATGAGAAAACGTGCATAGGACATGGGGGTGGGCTTCTGGGAGGGGAATGAGAACCCTGAGCTGGCTCTTCATAAACTGAGGAGCTGGAGTTGGACGGGAGGCTGAGCCAATCCCGAGGTGAGGCAGGAGTGAGTGAGCCAGCGTGACCCAGTTGGAGGCAGGGGGAGGGCAGAAAGGGGATTCTGGCTGGAGTGGAGGGTATAGGAGGGAGCTGAGACAGGAGACTGGAAGACTGTAGGTTGTAGAGGACATAGATGCTTTGCCAAAAGTTCCTTAAGAAGAAGTGGGAGGCCCCGAAAGCTCATGAGTTTTGGATGAACTGAGTTTTAGAGAGTTTACTGGAGTGTATGGTGGATTTAAGGTGGGTAGAGGTGAAGGTACAGGACTGCACCTCTAAGGTCTGAGCAAGGATGGTGGAAAAGGGCATGATGGATGGATGGATCAGGCTGACCTTCTGGAGAAACGACCCACAGGACTCAAGGGATAATTGGATATTGTATAGGGATGGGGAGTGAGTGGAGAGCTACCAGGATCCCCAGATAGATATCATCCTTCTGAATCTGGGTGGTAGGATGATGACATCTTTGCCCATGCAGACGCTGAGTAAAGAAAAAGAATTTGGTTTCAGGCATGTTGAATCTGAAGGGTCCATAGGGACGGCCGATTGGAAATAACCAGCAAGGGTCTAGAACTTCTGGACTAGGGTCTGAGAGAGATTTTGGATCTAGGCTTTTTAAGATTTGATAGTCATAGAATGATAGGGAATATTTAGTGTTGAGTATGACCCAACCCTCCATTTTACAGAAAAGAATCATAGGAAAAAGACCAAGTGATGTGCCTAGGAGGCAGGACTGAAGCCTCGGATCACCAGGCACAGGTTCTGCAGGGAGGGAGGGCTGCTGGCTAATGTCTTAAAAGAAAACTGGAAAGAAAAACACCCAACAGCCAGACTGCCCTGTGCCTCCCAGACCCTCCTGGAACCTATTCACTCCATCACCAGGTGGACGTGCTCCTTTACACCCTCCCAGCCCCAAGTATCAGGTCAGTTTTGGGGATCTTGTCTGTCATCACCCAGACCTTTCAGTGTTTTGGATCCCAACGTGGATCTCGAGAAGGGTTGCCTATGCCTGAAGGTGGGGTGGGAGCCAAGGCGGGAAGGCGGCTCCAAAGCTCCCTGTGCTGACAACCTCCCTTACCCCAGCTGCCTTGGATGGCACGGAAATTGTGTAGGGCATCAGGAGGGTGGGTCTGCAGACCTGGGACACCCTCCTCTGGCCATCTTGAGAACCTCCTATTGAGAGTTTGAAAGACAAAGCACCACAAGGTCTTAGAGGATTAGAAGGAGCCTGGAGACTCATCAGCAGGGCCCTGGGCCCGGGCTGCTCCCACCCCTGGCCCACAGGGGCCCGGGTCTGCGCCCTCCACAACTTCTAATTTCCAGTTGGCAGGAGAACCAGTGGTGGTCCCAGGTGGGTGTTTGGGGGATGGGTTGGTTGTACCGAGTGCCAGGCTGAGGTTGCCAGATCGTCAACCCATGGCAGGCAGGCAGGGCTGCTGTCTGGGAGCAGCCTGTCACTGTTGCCCTCCCTCCACCCCAGTCCCCGCTCCAAGCTCCTAAATCCTGGCTCTACCAAGCCAGCGGCCCCTCCCGGAAGCTCCTTCCTCTTTCCTAGAAGGAGTCTCCGTTGGAAGAAGCCAGCCTTCCGAATCCCTGATGTCTGCTGGGCCCCTCCCCCTATGCCCAGGTCCTCCTGGGCCCTGTCCTCTCCAGTTAATACTGTTTCCTGATCTGGAGGACTGGGGAGTTCCCACTGTTCTGCTACCCCACCCCCAAGGTGCCCTGGTTTGTCATCAGGCTCCCTTTCCCTCTTCCCTCCCACCTTTTTCCACTCCCAGGCCTCTCTGAAGGGGAACGCAGTGGGCACCTGGGTGGGTGGGGACTCAGCAGGGAGTCCTGCCTATGGCATTACAGACCAGGGGTGAGGAACAGAAGATGAGAAAGAGGTTAGCACCCCACTGGCTGGAGGCAATGAGAAGTTAACAGAGCAATGAGACAGGTGAGGAGCTGGAGTCTGGAGGGTGCTATTTGGAAATCAGGGAACTGTTCTGGTATTGGTGTGCTGTTGTGGAATTAGGAGTCTGTCCTGCTTTTAGGGAGCTGTTGTAAAAACTGGAGGCTTGCTGGTGTTTAGAGGCTATGCTGGAATTAGGGGAGTTGGCTGGTGTTGTGCTGTTTTGGTGTTGGCTGTCTGGAATTAAACAGAGGCCGTGCCAGTACTGGGAAGCTGTGCTCTAACAAGTGGTTGTACTGGATTAAGCTTATTGTGCTGGCCTGGGAGCTATCATAACACTGGGGCCTGTGCTGTGTTGGGACTTCCAGTGCGTGGTCCTGGCTGTCCGGGGAGCTGACCTAGAATCAAGGGGCAGTCCTCTATTAAGGTCTCTGCTTTCTGGGGGGGTTCTGCTGTGCTAGGGGGCTGGGCCTCTTCCTGGTTGCTGTTGAGGCCTAGAGGGCTAGGAGCTCTGGGGGTGGGCTTGGCTGGGGCTGTAGCCCGGTGCGGTGGTGGCCCCGTGGCGCAGGCTGGCCGGCTGGCAGTGACACTCCCTCTCCCTGCAGTTACCTCACCGCCGAGTCACCTTCTCCGCCACCAGCCAGGCGCAGGAGCTGCAGGACCCGTCCCAGCACAGTTACTACGACAGTGGCCTGGAGGAGTCCGAGACGCCGTCCAGCAAGTCATCCTCGGGGCCCCGACTCGGTCCCCTGGCTCTGCCTGAGGATCACTATGAGCGCACCACCCCCGATGGCAGCATAGGAGAGATGGAGCACCCCGAGAACGGTGAGGGGACCCCAGGAATGAGTAGAAGCCTGTGAGTGATGACGAGACCTTAGAGGTAGCCTCCATCTCTCGAGCTCTCATGTATTCAGCAGTAAACACTGTGTTGAGTGCTTTCTGGTATACGTTCACTTAACCTTCGCAACCGCTCTCTGATCTGAGAACTTTATTGTGCCCCCTTTACAGTGGGGGAAACGGAGGCTCAGAGAGGTTGAGTCACTTACCCAAAGTCATATACAGGAAGTGACAGAGCTGGGAGGGGTTCAAACCCAGGCACCTCTGACTCCAAAGACTTTGAATTCAGCACTACTTCATTCTGCTTCCTGGGAACAGAGACCCTGAGAATGGGGGCCAGAGGGCTCAGGTGGTGGTGAGGGAACTTTGAGGGGATCCTGAGATAATGAGAGCGCAGAGGGCCTTGAGAAAAGGGAAGGGACCCTGGATGCTATGAGGAGCCCAGAGAAGGGTGTGATGATCCCCTGTCGGGAGGAGCAGGAGAGGGTGTGGCTGAGGAGAAGGAGTGGGGAGGCCCGGGGAGGGGAAAGGCTTGTGTGGGCGGGGCTTGGAGGGTGATGGCAGACGTGGGATCTGGGCTGGAGCAGAGGTCAGCATGGGAATGGATGGGGGGCGTGTTGTCAGAATGTGTGTGTGTAGTGCGTGTGTGTGCATGAAGGCACCTCTGGTGGCCCGTGGTGGGGAGACTAAATCAGCTTCCCCTTGGGATAGAAAGACTCTCCAGCTTAGAGCTTTCCTCAGATCTCATCCCCTCCCTCAGTCCAAACTCCCCCAGCCCGCCACAAGATGAAAAGTTCCACACCTCACCCCTCGGGCCCAGGGCTCTTGTCTAACCTCCCAGGCCCCAGGTCTCAGAGTGCCCTCCATCCCCACCCTGCCCATCATCGTGCGATCTCACGCCCGTCTCGTCCTTTTTGTGCCCGCGCAGAGCCGGCTGGCCGGAGCAGGCCCTGAGGTGGACTGCCAGGTATGTGGGAGCTGCTCTGGGGTCTGGGGTCTGTGGGACTCGGCCCAGCACCCAGCCCCGCCCACCCAGTGCCCGTGCTCTGCTCCGTGCCACGTTGGGTCCCCCCACTCTGCCCTGAACTGAAGAGCCCCGGAGGGGTTAACAACAGAGCTGTCCCCTCCTCACCTTGCACTGGCAGGAGGCCAAGCCAGGGAGGGTGGTGCCGCTCAGTCACATCCCTGGACGGGGTGGGGGGGGCACCGCCTGGTACTGTCCCCAAGCGAGGGCGGGACAGGGGCAACTGTGACAGGAAGTACTCAAGTCCCAGACGTTCCCATGGAGACCCCCACTGCCCAGCAACCACACTGGCTACTGCTGATGTCAGACAGCCAACTTCTGTTCCCATGGGTGTTCTGGGCAGGGAGCGGGGCAAGGCCAGGGGGGTGGTGGGTGGTGTAGGGGCCAGAGTGAGGCGGGGAGGGGCTGCATGAGTGTGCTTGTGGATATGTGAGTGTGTGCTTCTACGCAAACCCCTGGCTTTGTAGCAGGGCCTTGCTATGCTGGTGTGGGGTGGGGTCCCAGGGCAACTGGGAGCATGGTGAGGCTGGAGGGGGCTCAGAAGGGAGGCATGTGCCCACCTTTGTCTGAGGATAGAGATGCCTGGTGTAGATTTGTGTGTCCACACATATCTGAGGGTAGGAGTGTGCGTGTGTGTGTGAGAGAGAGAGAGAGAGAGAGAGAGAGGAGAGAGAGAGCAGTAGAGAGAGAGAGAGATTGTGTCTTTAATGAGGATGGGGGTTTCCTCACCCCTATCTGAAGGTAAATGTGCATGTTTCAGCCCGTCTGGAGATAGATGACGGAGTGTGTAGATGGGGTGTGTGTTTGTGCACCTGTCTGAGGGCAGATATGGTGGATGTGTGAGAGGAGAGCTGGAGGGTGGGTGAGGATGGAAAGAATGTGTCTATTTAAGGACAGATTGTGTGTGTGTGTGAGAGAGCACGCATGCGGTGGATGGTGGGAGGGTGTGTGTCTATTGCGGTGGATGGTGGGAGGGTGTGTGTCTATTTGAGGGTGTGTGTGCCTGTGAGCTCAGTGGGCAGGAAGGGGCGTGCACCCCCGTTCCAAGGCGGCATGGAGGCGCTGGTGGGAGGCTGTGGAGCAGAGCTCTGCGAGGCTGCCCTGCCTGAGGACCATCCTCCCGGCTCTCCCCTGCAGACCTGCGCCCTTTGCCTGACGTCGCCATGACGGGCACATGTACCCGGGAGTGCAGCGAGTTTGGCCACTCCGACACGTGCTGGATGCCTGGCCAGTCATCTCCCAGCCGCCGGACCAAGAGCAGCGCCCTCAAACTCTCCACCTTCGTGCCTTACCAGGACCGAGGAGGGCAGGAGCCTGCGGGCGCCGGCAGCCCCAGCCCCCCGGAAGACCGGAACACCAAAACGGCCCCCGTGCGCCTCCTGCCCTCCTACAGTGCCTTCTCCCACAGTAGCCATGATTCCTGCAAGGACTCGGCCACCTTGGAGGAAATCCCCCTGACCCAGACCTCGGACTTCCCACCTGCAGCCACACCGGCATCTGCCCAGACGGCCAAGCGCGAGATCTACCTGTGAGCCCCCTTCTGGCCCGCCGGCCATCCCTTCCCCAGCCACCGGCCAGCTCCCAGGTGGGCCCATGCCAGGGCCCCTGCTCCTGACCCCTCCAGCGTGGACTTCCTGGCCAGGGCCCTGAGTGGGGGGGTTACTGGCCTCATGACCACACTGGCCCTTCCCCCATGCAGGGTCCAGGTCTTCTTCCCTCACTTCAGCCCCCAAACCCTAGGGAGCCCCCTCTTCCCCTTTATGGGGCTCCCCCCAGCTGATGCCCAAGAGGGCTCCTCTACAATGACTAGGCTCCGGTTCCTCGACTTCCAGGGATCACCCCCTCACTTTGGGCAGATGGCAGAGTCAAGGGTGGGCAGCACACTTTTAACTCGTTGTGCCCCGCATGGCCAACCAGGGCGGGCATAGGACGCCCCCATTCCAGCCCTGCAGCAGGGCTGAACTGGGGAGCCCCTCTCCCTGGGAACTCCCAGAGGAAACTCTTGACCGCCAGGGGCTCCCTGAAGGGCTTTTGTTACCAAAGGTGGGGTGGGATGGCGGTGGGAGTGGGGCGGAGGCCTTGTCTTCCTATACTGCTCCTGGGCTGGCCCACCTGCCTGCCGCATGCCCATGCCTGGTCCCATCCGGGCACCCCCCCTTCCCACTGGTCATGCAGTGTCTGTATATAAGGACCTTGGAATGACGTCCCCATTTCTGCCTGATTTGCAACTTTTCTTGTTGATGTTGTGTTGTCTTGGGGGGGCCCCTCTGGGGGGAGACCTGCCCTGCTCCCCCTCTTCCCTGCCGCAGTGCCCCCCACCCCAGGCCTCTATTGTTCCATGTTGTAAATACCCCTGGGGCTGTGGCAGGATGGGGGTGCAGGCCAGGGAAACAAGGGGGGTGGGGGTGGGGATGGGGGAACACTCGCCTATCAGCAGAGCTGGGCTTTTATTTAATTTTTTTTAAGAATACAAATCTCTATTTTTTTGGAACTGTTGCGCTGTGCCCTGGGGTGGGGGGGATCCCCGCTCAGGCTGGCCCCCACATCCAGACGAGCATCACGGAGGGGCCCTGAGGCTGTGGGGGGCAGCTGGCCGGGGGTGGGGAGACTGTGCCTCTGGCCTGGTTGGGTGAGTTGGGAGCAGGAAGGTTTGCTCAGGGGGTGGCTGGTTGCTGCCCCCAACAGGGGGTACCTGCACCCTGCCCCCTCTCTGCTCTGCACCCCCCCCCCCAAGCCCCTGCCATGACTGACCCGTCAGCCTGTAAAACCACCATTGCCTTGATCTCAGGGGGTGGGAAGGGCTGCCTTAGGGCACCCTGGGCTCCAGGCCCCCTTCTTCCAGTTGGGCTTCCCTTTGCCAGGGTCAGGGGTCCCGTGGCGTGGGGGGATCGGGGGGCAGAGAAGCCCAGTCAGCCATGATGAGGTGGGATTCTTTTCTTCACCTCAGGGGGCCAGGGTGTGAGGGGCATCCTGCAGAGGCCCCATCTCCCACTGTGGCCATCTCAAAGCCTCAGCCCCTCTTCCTTCCACAAACCCCCACTGCCTTGGCCCATACCTCTCCGGCTCCCCAGGGGCCCAGGCTGGGAGGCTGGAGACTCAGGGTATGGCCCTTGCTTGACTTAGTCTAAGCCTGGGGGTGTGGCCCGAGGGTGGGAGGGGTGGGTACAGGCTGCTGGGTCGTCTGGTGCCTTTGGGAGCTGTGCTGCTGGAGTCTTGACTCCTGTAACCCCAGAGACCCCACCTCCACCCCTGAAAGCCAGGGGGCTGAAGAATCACCTTGTTCTCTGCTCCGTGCCCCTAGCTTGGCTTGGGGTAACAGTGCTGGGAAGGAGAGCCTTGTTAGGCTCGTGGCCCCAGCATACACAGCCCTTCAGTGGAGGGTGGGGGGGGGGTGGTGTAGAGTGGCCTGGGGTGGCAGCAACCAGGTCTAGGGATTGGCCAAAGGCTCCTTTCCCTGGGGGAGGCCCAGGAAGTGGGCTGGGGCTTGTTAAAGAGACAGCCCCTTCCCCCTGCACAAACGGGGCAGGTGCAATAGTGGTGCAGTTGGTAACGTGAGGTGCCCCGCTGGTGGGTCAGTGGCCTCGAGGGCTGTCCTGGGTCCTGGGGGTCAAGATTCTGGCAAGAGGATTGTACGAGGCCCATTTGCTTGGTGGAGAGGGTGGTCCAGACAGGAGGCATTCCTGGGGTCAGTGGACTTCCCCTGGAAGCCCCTGGTGGCCTGGGCACCCTGGCCTGGTCTCGGAGACCCCTGCGCACTAGGTGGAAGGGCAGAGGAGCATTTTGCACAGTGGAGAAGCCAGAAGGAAGGGGGTGGCCCAGGTGGCTGGGAGGGCTGAGAAGCACAGAGGAGGAGCCCTTCCCACAGGCAAAGGCAGAGCCCCTAGCCCCCTGGTTGGGGTTGGGGCACTGAGTCTGTCACCACCTGGGCACTTGAGAGGTGAAACCAAAGGTGGGCAGGGGATGGGTGACAGCACTGGGGACCATGCCTGTTGGTCCTAGGTCTGTGAAGCCCTTCCCCAATGCCTTGTGTCGCGTACAGTTTTATGTACAAATAGGCGACATTTGGCCAGAGGAGACCCCGCTCAAACCCAGCCTGACCCAGTCAGTGTCTTCCTAGAGGGGACCTAGTCTGTCCCTACCTCCTACTTCAGAGCATGTCTCTTGGTAGGGGGAGGGTATATGGGGACATACTTCTCTCCTAGGGTCCCTGAAGCGCGTCTCACATCCTCGGGGGAGGGTCTCTGGGGCATCCCTCACCTCTGGGGGCTCCCTAGGCCCTATCTCTCCCCTTGGGAGTCTCTGGGTGGGGGGGACATGTATCCCCGCTGGGGACCATGGGAGCATGTCTCCCCCGCTACCCAGGCTCTCTGGGGAGCCTGTTGTCCTCCCAGGGTTTCTCGGAGTACTTAAGGCATGTCAGTCTTGGGCCATGTCTCTTCCCAGGGAAGGGGGCTATCTCTGAAGCATGTCTGGGAAGAGATGTTTCTGGCCCTCCCTGCACCTCTTCCCCAGGGGTGTCTCTGACTTGCAGCACTTCGGATGAGACTGGGCAGCTCTGAGCTGTCTTTTCTCGCAGGGGCTCTGGGATACCTCTCTCTCCTGAGGGCCCGGCCTCCGGAGCCATTTCTTCCCTGTGTGGGGCCGTCTCCTGGTGTTTGGTTGGCTTGTGTTGGCCAAGAGAAAGCCTCTTAGGGGGCGTCTCCACGCGGGACTTCTCTGGGAGGGGGGACTGTGTCTCGCCCATGGGGTTCCCGGGCGGTGTGTCTGCCCGTGGGGAGGGGGAGACTGTGTCTCCTCGGGTTATCTGAGTGGGGAGGGGGGCCGTGTCTCTCTCGTGTGTTGGGGGGCGGGGGTCGGGGAGGGGGGTTTTGGGCGCATCGGATGCCCACACTGGGGTCGTGTTTCTCTTGGTTCGTGCCACTTCCCACCGCCTCGCTCCTCCCGGGAAGGGCTCCCGTCCCGCCCCCACTCCACCCCCCGTCCCTGGCGCTGCGAGCACAATCCCGTCGATTTGTAATGATTTCTGTCTCTGTCTTTCTCTTTCTCTGACCACCCCCGCCCCCCCACCCCGCCGCGAGCATGCGCAGGCACCTCCCCTACCCCTCCGGTTCGGTTCGTTTCCGGTTTGTTTGCTGAGCTGTCAATGAAAGACCCGTGTAATTATTCCCGAGCTTTACAATAAAAGTGTGAAAACCGGACCCCACTTGGCTTCTTTTGGGCCCTCGGGCCGGCGTCCCGGGGAGAGTGGAGGCTACGTCTGGGGTAGAGACCTTGGGGGGGGCCGGGGGACGCGGACGGGAGAAGAGGGATCGAAACCCATACTGGGATTAATCGGTTCCACGCAGGGATGGGGGCAAGAGGACGGACACTGAGGACAGACATCTACTTCATACGCCTCAAAGTGGCCCCCGTGCCATCCGCTGGGCCCGATCCTCTCCCGGCAACCCCATTCCCACCGGAGCTGACATGCAGGCTAGGGGTTAGGCTTGGGGGGCGCGCCGCGCTGCGGAGGGTTAAGCTGTGCTGCCTTCTTCCATGGGGCATGTATCCGTTCACGCACCCCTCATTTAGCAACGAGTTTGAATCGTGGAACTGGATAGGAGAAAGGACGGGAGACATCTGTCTGTCTGTCGCTCCCTCTCACGCTCAGGAACGAGGGTTGGAAGTCGATGTACGGGGACCCGAAAAGGTCTCAGCCCCCGTCCACGACTGCGCTCCCCTCCCCTGCTTCCGGGCCCGAGCGGCCCCGGCCTCCTCAGGCCGGCTCCCGGGTAAACACCGGCTCCGGAGAGGTCGTAGAACAGAGACCGGATCAGCCGGTTTCCCGGCCCCGCCTCCCGGGGCGCCCCTCCCTCCGCGCGCGCTTCCGCTCAGCCCGCGCGCCCGTGTACCCCCGCTCGCGCAGCGTGGGCCTGGCTCCCGGACCCCGGGGTTGGTTCAGCTGCTGGGATTAGTCGAGAGCAGGGACTAATCCTGGATGAGCCTCCCTGTAAACCCCGATCGACCGCCGGTACGGCGGGGGTCGTGGGGGCCCCTTTATCCATTCCCATACTCCGGGCTTCTTAGGGCCTGGACCCTCCCCACGCCCCCTCGCTACAGTTGGAGACAAGTTGGTTGGATCTGCTGTGCGGAAGAGGTGGGGGCCGGCGGGGGCGGGCAGCGTGAAGACACTGCCCAGATCAGGCCTGGATCAGTCGCGCCCCAGAGAGCCTGGCGGTGGGTGGGTGGGTGGGGCACCTGAAGGAAGGGCAGAAGCCCCTCTGACAGCCTCTGAATCCACAAGGGGTGAGGTCAGCTCCCTGGCTCAGTGTGCAACTCCGTGCTCCCCACCGATCCTCCAGTTACAGAATCTCCAGCCCTCCCTCTACTTGTGGCAAGGGTGACCTGCCCCTAACCTTGAGGCCTCACCTTCTCATCACAGGAGGCGCTGAGTCAGCAGGAGGGCCCCATGTCACCTCCACCCCTGACTTGGCCAGACAGTGAGGGGTGAGGAGCTCCTCCTGTTGAGGCCAAGCCCTGCCAATGATATCAGGGGTCAAGGGACTAGGGTACTAGAATCCTGTCCCTGGTTGGTTCATTCATACCACAAACATTTCACGGTCTCTATGGGAGAGGCAGACAGGTAAACAATGACCACATCGCGTTCAGCCCTGCCCTGAGCCGTAAATTCAGGCTAGAGGGCCAAAGGAGGTGTCTCCTCCAGCACCGTCCAGCAGGCTTCCTGGAAGAGGTGGTCCCAGAGCTGAGTTCTAAAGGGCAGATGGGGAAGAGCCCACTGAGGAAGGGGTCTGCATCCCAGGCTGATGGAGCAGTGTGTGTAAGGGCCTGGAGGTACAGAAGGAGAAGGTGAGGTAGTTCAGGAGGGCAGGAGAAGTTGAAGAGGAAGGCAGGGGCCAGAGCTAGCAGGGCCTGCTGGTCAACCTAAGGAAGGAAAGGGAGCCACTGAGGGATTCTAAGCCTCTAAAAGAAAAGGTCAGATTTATGTTCTTTACAGATTCTAACTGTCCTCTTGCCTTCTCTGCCGAAGTTTCTCTGGAGAGCCTGGGTTGGAGGTGGAGGCATATACCCACAGACAGCAAGGAAGAGGAACCAGGGTACAGTGTATATTAGGAAATTCGGTCCCCACATCCTTCCATCACACCTGGAGTTAGAGAGACCTACATTAGAAATCTGTAGTACTTCCTACTGGTATGAGCTTGGGCAGGTGACTGTGCCTTGGTTTCTTCATCTGTAAAATGGAGCTAATAACGCTTACCATCACAGAGGATCATCGTGGGGCTTCACTGAAATCGTGTGTCCACTCTTTTATTTAACACATATTTAACACCTACTGTGGGGCAGGCTCTGTGCCAGCTGTTGGCGTTACAGCACTGAATTAGACAGGCATGGTCCCTACTGTCTCTTAGAACTTCCATTCCAGTGGAGAAGACAGACAATAAACAAACAAATGAGGTAATTATAGGTTGTGTTAAAGCGCTGTGAAGGAAACAAACAGTGGGACACAAAGGAGGATAACTGGAGGTGGGGGAGAGAAGGGGGCTGCCTTACTCAGTGTGGCCCAGGCAGCTTCTCTAAGGGAACCTGAAGATTTAGAGCTCAGGACAGAGTATTCCAGGTACAGAAAACTGCAGCTGCCAATGCCCCGAGATGGGAGACAATAAGGAAGTTAGCATGATTCCTCTAAGATGCTAGGCTTCCTGAGGGCAGGAACCTAGGTCTCTTGACTTCTCACCACCTCCTGGATAAATACTGGGGGAAGTAAACAAATGGAGGGGAATTTCCGGCTTGCTGGGTCAACCTCCCCACCCCCATCCCCTGGAGTGTGTTGTGAGGGGGGTGCTTTTGGCCTCTACTCAGCCTGCCCATCTGCACAGCTTAATCTTCCCTCCAGCTGTTCTATACAGGAAAGGTCTCTGCCCACTTCTGTTCCTTTCCTGGGGTTCCCAATCCTCTCCTTGGACAGGAGGGGCAGCTTGGGCCCCCGCCCAGAATCTGCTGATTAAGAGCCTGGATTGAACATGATTTAGTATCTGACCTGCAGTGGTTGAGGGTTACTGGGGCCCTCTGGAGTCTCCCCCTCGGCTGGGATCTCACTTCAGGGAGACCTTGAGGAAAGCTTCCTTACACGTGGATACGTTTCACACACAGCCACCCGTGCTGCACAGCGCACACAGCTCCTCTCACCCGCTCACATCCAGCTGCACATTATGTCTCCATGGCAACCAGAAGGCCTGGTCCATGGATGTTAGAAATAAGTGCCAGAGGAAGGGAAAGAGAGAGAGAGGAGCAGCATCAGAAATAAAGAGACTCAGAAAGCTAGCCTCCCAAGGAGGCCCCCTCTCTTTCCTTGCACCCTCTGCCAGGAAGACTCGAATGGACTCAGGGCCTCAAGAATGGAGGACCTCAAGGTGGGCACTAAGCAGTGGGCTGAGGGCTGTCTGGACACAGGTCATAGGGGCCCAGTGGGCAGTGAGGGAGGAGCAGGACCAGGAGAACTTGAGTGAGTCTGGAGTTTTGGACTAAGAAGACTTGGTCTGGGTAAAAGGCAGAGGAGGTGTGTGGGTAGGGATGCGAGACTTAGGGGAGCTACTTTCCCTTCTTCCTGGCCTAATTGGCTGTTCAGGCTGAAACCAGCTCTTAGTCACTCAGTCTAATTAGAATTGTTCTGGAGAAGACAGTGGGGGAGGGGAAGGAGAAGCTGGGGTGTGAAGGGGGAAGGGCGGGAGGAAAGGGAGCTGAGTGGGGGTGGGGAGTGGGAGTTCCTTCTATCACCTTCCATCCTTTCTGTCACCATCCAGTGGATGGGCTGGGCTATAACTGTCCAGGCTGTGGGTCACTCTAATACCCCCGCCCAGCTGTCACTCGTGTTCCGTCACACACACCTGCTTTGTGCTCAGTGTCTGTCTCTTCCTCTAGCTCTCTCTTACTCTCTCTCCTTCTCTCCTTCCCTGTCTCTTCATCTTTCTTTTCCCCCTTCTTCAGGGTCTCCCAATCTCTGGCCAACAATGTTTGCCTCATAAACAGCTGAAGATTTTGGAGTGCTGGCTGGGGCTGATCCACTTTGGAGTGGAGGAGAGGCAGGGGGGCCGGATTGTACTGAAAGCTGCCTCATCTTTTGGGAGTAAGAGGGAAGGGGGCAGACACTGCCCAGGCATGACTTCCCCCCAACAGGCACACACCCACCTCTGTTCCCACCTCCCTCCCCTAACCAAGTGTCATCACATCTCTGGAGTATGTGGAGCTTGGCCTCTGGAACTGGACTGTCTCGATTGCCTTGGACAAGTAACTTAACCTCTCTGAGCAGCAGTTTCTCTAGCTATGAGATGGGAATAATACATCCTAACTTTGTAGTGTGGATTTAAGAGGATGATGCATGTGAACTGCTTAGCACGGTAAGTTATAAGTGCTCGATGAACGCAGCTTTTATCCTCAGTCCCCAGCTCCTTTCCTTTCCCAGGCCCTTTGGGAACCAGGACGTGTGCATCTTTCCCTTCTCCTTCTTCTGCTTCCCCATTATTGCGGCCCCTAAATTACCTCTCAGTTCCTAGACTCAGCCCCATGACCTTTCTCTCAAGGCTCCCCTCTATGGGTGGGTGTCCTCGTTGTGGGGGATGAGTATGGAATAGGAGGTTAGGCTTGGATCCTGCCCCTGCCCACGGGGGTAGGGGTTCGGGACATACCCTTCTCCAGTCTGGGGACTGGGTTTTCCCTCCTCTGCAGGCCTGGAAGAAGACGAAAGGGGACAGCCATAAATCATGTAGGGGAAGTGCACTTGCTGAGGAGGACAAGATGGGATGAGCAGAGTCCAGAAGCCTAAATATTTCATGGGGCTGCAGCACCAGGAAGGGCAAAGTCCCCGAGCTGTGTCTGTGAACGCGCTCTGGACTCCACGTGGCTTGGAGCTGTTCCACGTGCTCATTCCCCCTGCACCCCCGGAAAACTGCCTGCAGTGACCCCTTTCCTGGCCAGGAGCCTTCCCAAGTTCTCTCAGCACTTGCATATTTAATTTCTTAACAGCTGTGGTAGTTTGTTCAGGTTGGAGGCTGTGTTTTGACGTGGTCATGTTTTTCCTGCCCGTGTACTCAGTCTCCCGCTTTACATGCCCCGGGACTGGTACTCTTGGCCCTCATCTCAGTGTTATCAGGAGAGCCACTAGTTGGCAAGAGCTGATGGGGTGGGGGCAGAGGCGGGGCTGGAG